CTAATGGGTCGGCCGGATATTGTACGAACGCATTTATATTTTCGATATTATGTGGTCGTTAATTAATTATTATACCACGTAGTTGAATTTTTCTAAATGGAACATTATGAGATCCATGAAATGGTGACTGTTGAAATTTGTGATTAATCACTTCTTTGTTTGCCATGGTCCAGGATATTGATACATGTATTGACATACCAGTGGTCCTTGGTTCAATCACGGTCAATTTTTTGTCATCCAATTGTCAAACTACTGTAAATTGAATATAATAACAAAAAAAGGAAATATATTTAATGCCTTTTTATGTTGCTTCTTGATATGAAATTCGAAGACCTATACAAGTAAAAGTGTACAAGTTGTGCTAATAAACCGATTCTTCAAAATCAGTCATGTATCATGACATACAGGGCGGGGCATCGAAAACGAAACAGATCGAATATCTTCAAAATACATGTGTTCTGAAAAAAATGCAAAAACACGTCGATTTGTAATCCAAGGGGGACATCTTCCTATCATAACCTCAACTGTCATACCTCTTCCCCCACCCCTCGGTGACTATCACCCAAACAATTTGAATAGGGAAAGTAGTAAGTGTGACACATCGTTAAAAAGAAAATTTCATAAGGAATTCAGCCATGTCAATTTTAGCTACCTAACTTTCGATTTTGGCGCCTTCTTGCGGGAAAAAAAGCTGTTCCGTATTCTTCATTCGCAAGTTTATTTGGCATAAATTCGGTGACAATGCATTATGGAGTTTTTCTAGAGGAAAAAACAAGATGGCTGCTTCACTATGGCGGACAAGTTTTGCAAGTATGGTCCGAAAACGAATTCTTTAGAACACATGTGTTGTGAACATAATGCAAAAACACGTCAATTTTAAATCCAAGGGGGACAAATCCTATCGTTACCTCAACTGTCATACTTCTCTCCCCACCCCTTGGTCACTCATACAATTTGATTAGGGAAAGTACTAAGTGTGACACAGCATTGAAAAGGTAATTCCATAAGGAATTCAGACATGTGAGTTTTCGCTACTTAACCTTTCATTTTGGCGCTCTATTGCAGGAAAAACAACTGTTTCGTTTTTCAATTCACATTTTATTCGAAAGATAATGTAAAAAATTCACGAAAAAAGAACAACGATTGAAAAAATTACATAATCCAATCATCGCAAACTACTCTAATTCACAGTAGATGCTCAAAGTGTTCGGCATGAACTGCCATAAATGAGTATAAGTTATTCTCGATGACGTTTTTAAGCATTTCTGAAGTTATTTGATGACATTCGTACCTTTGGAATAACAATTGACTTACTACGCCTATGTATTGGTATAATAAAAACCCTACATTGTTTGGGTGATAGTCACCGAGTGGTGGGGGAAGAGGTATGACAGTTGGGGTTATGATAGGAAGATGTCCCCCTTGGATTACAAATCGAAGTGTTTTTACATTTTTTCAGAACACATGTGTTTTGAAGATATTCGATCTGTTTCGTTTTCGGAGTCCCACTCTGTATATTACAAATGCAGAAAAATACATGTGCATATGTGTAAGTTAATGTATGTCTTAGATCTTAGAGTACTTGATACGATCTTCTTTTCAAGACATCCCTGACGAAGAAGTGTACCTATGATCAGGCTCTCATGATGATTTTCAGAATAGAAATGTCGAGTACTTAATACATGTTTTGTAATATGGATGAAATTGTTATGATGGTGGTTACTAAAATTGATGAGAAAAAGTGGATGTCACTTTTTAAAAAAATTTATGATAGAATTGAATGAACCAAATATCGCATTCAAAACTGATTCATACCAGATCATTATAAACATGAATCAGCACAAAACAGTTCGTCTGCCTTATTTTCTCGTATTATTTAAAATTGGCGGTATCTACATATACATTTACATCAAACGAAATTCAACAATTTTAGTTTTTTGCGTCAACCAACGTCAACCCGGCCGGCTGCTGACCAGACGGTATATTATAAATGTAGAAATTATAAATTTTGATTCGAAATGACATAAAAGCAAACGATAAACAATAGTTGTCAGATATCTAGAAATTGTATGTAGCCGAAATTATGTAAAATATAACCTGATGTTATTACCGAGATTGGCACCATCAAATAGAACAGATTAAAAATTGATGAAGAAAACTGTCATTATCTATCTTACAAAAAATTGGGAAACCTTAGGGATATTTATTTATAGAGATAATCCACCACTTTGTAATGAATGCCACTTTTAAAAACTACTCTGAAATAAAATTCTAATGATGGATGATTGAACATATTTTTAAAAAAGAATTATAGCTTTCGCAAAAGCTGCTGTTTAACATATTTCTAATAAAATATAATAAAAACAATACGAACTGAACGAATTTAATCGACTGAAAAAATATTACTCTTACTTACCTAGATCGAAAATAGCAAAATCTAAGTCTGTTAACTGACATTTCTCAATAGGCATATTACAGATTTTAAGTAAAAGATAATCTTCGTCATTTTCCATATAATCATTTGGAAACCCCGGCTGTGGTTATACTTAATATATTAATCACCTTGTTAATTACATTGTATCATTGCTCTCAAAATGTATTCCCATGATGATATTTCTGGATATGCACTAACCATTTTAAATTAAATATTTGAGAGTCGGTCAAGTTTGACCTTCGCAAATATTAGCGTGTGAATATTTTTTTAAGAAAATGTTTTCAAGCAAACCAGTTAGAAAAAATAAGCTTTTTGACTTCAGGCGCATTAAGCTTTAGTGGTATAGTTTTTATATACTTATGTGAAAAGGTACTCACTGAAATGTTTGTTTTAATGATTCATTGATGATGATTGATAATTCAAGATATGCATATTTTAAGTACTAGTTTTCTTGGAAGGTGCAATACTCATTTCTATTTTTTTGTTAGGTATGGGTATTTTTTTTCTATCATCAAAAAATATTCTGATAAAATACTAAAGTTGTTTATGACATTACTTGTGATTCTAAATGAGTTTTAGTATTCTATGTCGAGTTATTTTCTTCAGCAGGAAAAGCTTTGAAAAATAATACCGATGCAACAGAAGTTATTTTTTTCACTTGTTGCACAATGTCCCATGTCCATATTTATATTGGCAAATCAAATAGGTGCAGCTAAATATAATTCTTAATGAATATTTTATAGCATTCTCTCAAACTCAGAGGAATTCAGAGGAGTAAGAAATATACAAAGGTGCGATGACAAAATTAACAGTGTTTATTTGCTTTGTTGATATTTCAACTTGGACGATTCTCACATAACCTCAAATCCTAAAGTTCTCCAATCGTTCCTTCACATGAAAGTTCATGCAAAAATGAAAACTTATTTACTCACTTGGTATTCCACTGGCAGTTTGCCCCATTTTAGTAAATAACACATGAAAACTCCCAACTTTAATATAAATTGTCTAGTGTTGAATCATAACCTTAACATTATTTTAAATTTTTGCTACACATTTGTTTTCAAATCACCGCGCGTTGACAGGAAACGAATATTGAGCTGAAAGTAAAACAAGTTTGTTGTCACGTTAGTGAAATAATACTATATGTTTATATTTAAAAAATGTTTTCAACACTAAATGACAGTTCTTTACCTTCTAATATTCGCTCAGTTGGTAAAATCAAAGACTACATCAATACATTAGCCAACGTAAAGAGCAGAAAAGTGGCAAATTTAGAATATCGGTGGAAGTTTATAGTACCTACTTTTTAGAGAATCTAGAACGGGTATTTACTATGGATATTATAAAGTAGATAAGTAGGTATATATTATAATATCTATGGTATCTACTGAAGCAGTATTCTTTTTTGGTTTTACCTTGTGAACCCTTATCTAAGGCTATAATATAATCAAAAGGTAGTTATAAAATAATAAAACATTTCATTTAAGATGTTTGTATCGATTTATGACAATTGATTTTTCAAACAACAAAAAATAATAGAACGAGAAATTTATATTTTGAATAAAATTTCCCGAAATCGGATTCGAAAACTCAAAGGCGTTGGCTTTGAAAAAAAAATTGAGGAAAATTTCAATCTTAATAAGAAAATATTGTAGACATTTCCTTCAGAGACTGATTGGTAATTTGATTTACATAATTTTGATAATAACAATTCATCATAAGTATTTTCTTTTTCGAATATTTCAATATTCAAATACCACTGAGACCAAAGTTGGGACATCTGAAGAATCAGAGATATCCTGCTTAGGAATCAAACATGCATTGTTAATATACTCTCAAATTCAAGATAGGCACATAAAATATCCCTGGTATAATCACTTTGATAACTTCCTCATGCAAAATATTTTGTTAAAAACTCTCGACCTATGGCATATTTCACAATAAAAATATTGAAAATATTAAAAATATCCTATAAGTTTCAGCCTTCCATTCACAGAGGTGCTGAGTACGCTTAAAAGTTACCCTGCTTGTCCATGTCAAATTGCTACTTCAATTTTCAACATTATTTAGACTTGGGAATAAATAGATATTAAGTGGAAGATTTTCCACAATATGGTCCATGAGTTAAAGATCTGAATGAAATACGAGCGACAGATTTCGATTTTTACTCCATCTATCAACATGTGTACACAGTTGGGTCAATCTCATTTCTCGCTTCGAGAGTTTTTGACAAAACGAAGGCGAATGAGTTGACACCAGGGTTTATATGTATCTTTTTCAAGATGCAAATTAAATCGATTTCATAAAATCTACTTTTGTCTTCTTGTCAAATACGCTGCAGTTGGAAATACTAAAACCTGTCTTAACATATAATCAAAATTTTTCAATAATCTCTTTCTCTAGCACATATTAAATGTAATGGGCAGCGCCTTTCCCTTCATTCTCTTTGTGAAAATTATGAATACTACCTTACTACCTCAGGTAAGGGTTCGGAAACCAAAGAATAGGCAACCATTCCTACAGATATGTAATGCTAATGGAGTAGGAAGCGCAATAACTGTTGCGGGTCTGGTTGTATTTTGAGTGCTCCACTTATTTTTTCATACTCTAAGAAAGTTGTCACAATGTGAATCAATGAGAGCATAATGTGGTAGGTATATGAATGCTTCTGTTAATTTATTTATATTGTGATCACTTTCTTGAAGTGAAAGTTAAAAAAGTGAAGAAAAAGTAAAAATTTGGTGTATGAACCAGCCAATTTCTCTTCAGTGATAAATAACATCTTCACAAATAAACAATAATTACCAAAATGATATATTTTCTGACATAAGTCTAGGTTTTATAATTTTTACTTGGGTAATGAGTTCGACTTGAAGCGAATATTCTTTGAGCTGATAAAGCTGATACTATTATGAATATTTCATGGACACTTGCAGTATTGTATATTTCTCTCTCTGGAAAAGAAAATTATAATAGTAATCGAACCATTAGTTCTAAAAGAAGGAAGAGTTTTGAATTGTTTAAAATAGGATTTTAATTGGTTATGGATGTGTTTACATAGCACTACTGCTTGAGGTGCACCATCAAAAGCATATCCTATTAGATTTTCCAAAGAAGAACTCTGAAACTTGTAATATTAAAAAATTCGATTTGTATAAAACTGCCTTTAAGGAAAGCCAAATCATTGATCTTCCACAGATTTGTTATAAGGTTGTTTCAAAAGTTTCTTCCGTTTCAATGTCATGTGTTTCTGTAGCTCCATATCTCAATAAATATTTATTCTACCCTGTCGTAGTGTATACCGATCAATAGAAAATTTTGTATTCCATATATTGATGCTGTTCATTTTTTTTTGAAATGTTTTAAATATTATAAATTGTTGAAAAAAAGTAATGGAATGTTTGGTTAGTGTGGATTCCCAAAGCCACAGAATTATTCAGTGCTAACAGCTGCCAACAAAATATTGTTATCAGTTTGTAATGAGGAATGTCATTTAAAATTGAAAAGTTTCGAGAGTTTGAAAATGACCTATAAAATAATTATAGAATGGTAACTATATTTTGCAAAATTATAATTTGATAATTTTTCATCACTTAAGGGAATTCCATTATTATTATTATTGTATAGTAGAATACCAAACAATTTTTTTAAAGCCAGTGGTGGTGGAGTTAACAATGTTTTATATTCGTCCAGCTGTACACCTTCCCTTAGGACTTTAGGTAAAATACTCTGATATTTTAGGATCGATACATGCACAAGTTTAAAGTCATCATTCGCAAGTCGTAATAAGGTAAATAGGTTTTGGCTCTCTACTTTTTTACCTTTATACTAAAAATGTTGTTGTTTTCGAAAGTACTTTTTTCTCTCTTGTAATTCAATTTTTATTATATGAAAGTAATTCTTTTGAGAGAGCGTTTTCTTCCAGTTTGTGACTGAAATAGTTACTTCTTTGCATGATCTACACATTTTTGTGAAGAGTTTATTTTGAAATTGTTTATTTTCTTCTTGTTATTGGAAGTTTCCCATATTTTTTGTGTAGAAATGGAGAAGTGGAAAACCAAAACCTTTCTTTCCCACAAGTGTCTCCTTTCAAAACTTCGAAGCTTTCCAGTGAAATTTTGTGCGTAACTCTTTCATATATTATTTGGGCAGCATTCCTATGGATAATACCTGATCCAATTCCATATTGAATGTTTGGAGTACAAACTGAATAGCAGATAGTGATTTTCATATTATTTAATGTTCATATGAAATTAGTTGTTTTGAAACTATTTTTACTTTTGTGCAAATCAATGTTCATGTGAAAGTAGTTGTTTCAGGAAGGGTTTTTTCTTCCTGTTGGTATCTGAAAGTAACTTCTATGCATATCTACACATCTGTGTGAAAAGTTCATCTTGAACTTGATTGCTTTCTTCCTTCCTATGGAAGATTCCCACAATTTTTTGCATGAAAATGAGTGAGTGAAAGCCAAAAAGCTTTTTATCAAAAAACTGATCTCTTTTCAACAATATCCCTTTGAATTTAAACATTTATATTCCTGTCATACAATAGTAGTTATCTAATAAACCATGCCATGAAAATTGAACCCTATCATTGAACATTGAAGAACCCCCATTTCTGTTAAACATCATTAGTTTTACGATCATTCGAATATGTAGTTCTTTTATTTTCGAGTATCAAGATATGCCACAGATCAATGAGATTTGATTCTTCAATAAATAGTTTATGTTTTACAGGCTTAAATTATTTCAACCATTTGCTATTTGAAATTGAAAAATCCTTGAACCCTGGAAACACTGAAGTGTAAATTGTTCAAAAATTGAATATCGGAATATACGTTGTAATTTTAATGAGTTAGATGACTGAATAAATTGAAATTTGTTATGAGGTAAATTATTGGGGATAACCATACTGTAAAAATTACTCATCTGTTACAGCTTCTCACATTTCTGAGATACCATATACCCTATAACAGTTCCAATTCCTGTAGTAAAAGCAAGAGTTTTTTAAAAAAAGGTGGATATCCAAAATACTACGATTTTCCAACTATTAAAAATCTAGCTATCGACCTAGGTCTCACTAATATCATAGACAAAGATCCTGCTTACATTGTAGAGGAAGGTTTTACTCCACTTTTATCATATAATGTGCATAATTATTAAAAAGGCAGGTTTCAAGGTCAATGAAAGGACAAAGAGCCACAATTCAGTGATGGTTTTGGTCACAAACTGAGACTTATAATCCAAAGCTCTTTTTTACACTACTCTCATTTCCATTAAAAATAACTCACAGGTGACGCCCAAAATTGTTTTTTTTTTGAATGGGAATGGACAAATAAATGTAAAATCAATGAGTTTCAAAATCAGAAATCAACTTTTGTCATAAGAAACTCATTGATCCAATTATTTTTTACATTAGGAATCGCTTTTCATGTAAAATGTATATATGGCATTTAATAAAAAGTGACAACTTTTCTACACTTGATTCATCAGAATTGATAACCTAAAAATTAATGTTGAAGAGTAGACACCGTTTACATAGTTATAGCTGATAATGTAAACATAAATTGTCATTTCTGATAGCTCCCAAATAATATTATGAAATAAAATCACTTGACCTTGAGGGAGACATGAAAATTAATATTTTTTTAAGGCACTATTTAAAATGCACATTCAACAAAAATTGATTGCTATTCACATTCGTCTTTTCTTAGACGAATATTCTAATAGAATATTGGGTTTTCAGTGAATAAAAAACTTAATTACGATAAATTCAATATATTTTATACACAAGTTGGGTTGGATATAAATTACAATTATTAGGCGAATCAGTATCCAATTTGTAGGTAAAAAACTTGATGTAAATGTATACTTTTTATTTTTATGGAATTATTGAAAATGGAACAGAATTGAGAAATCTAGTTACAACAGATAGTACTTTCTTAAAAACTAAATATACTTTACAATCTTTTTTTAAAATTTATTCTTACACTCACTGAGGAATCTATATGAAAATAAATAAATCGAGAAGTAGGATTACACGTTTTTGTGAGCGCAGAGTATAAGAATGTATTTATGAATTCCTTAATCTACTTGTATTCAAGACAATTGAAAAAGTTTGTTGAGTAAATGGTAACAACAAGAAGGAATCAATTTGAATAAATTATATCGGTAATAAATATGTCCCATTTCAATTATCTTGCATACTTATATACAATTATAAAATGTTTTATTCTATCCTTACTATAGTGATGTTTATTGAATCGTATAAATGAAATACTTTCATGTACGGGAACATTAATACTGAGCGGTCTAAGAAAATTTTGTTACTCTCTAATTATGATAGAGGATGTTTCTCTTTCTCGCAGTCTGCCTAGTAATGCAAGTATTAAAATAAACTTTCCTTGCTACAGAGTGTTACTTTGAAAACTTCTTGCTATCAAAATCTTTCTTCAACAAAATAATGATTGAAAGTGAAAAAATACACCAATATTATTTTCAAGACAAAGACTTGGAAAATATTTGCAGCCCTGTTTATTCAGTCACTTTAGGTGTATTTTTAAAAGAAAGGAAGTTAAATTTTGAGCTCATTCAATTTTTTTTAATATTATGACTTATTATATTCGATCAGTGATATCCGGAAATCTATTTTTGACTCCTTGTATTGAGAATGTGCGCTCGAATTTCAACATTGTTCTTAGAATGGTCATGTTCGATGAGAAGTGTCGAGAATAAATTATAATTATGATTGACTTTCACATCGAAAACAGCAGTTATAGTCACAACCTCATGACAATGTTGTTTATTGTAAGCAAAGATCTGGTGATGAAATCAATTTGTAGTATATCTATGAAAATATTTTAGTTGAAAAACTAAATTATGTTAAAATTACAGGTCAAATGTGGTTACATAACTACTAGACTTATAGAAATCAAGCCACAAGAATTAACAGTGTCTTTTCTGATTGTAAATTTTGGTGTGCGACAAGAAAGCGTGTTGGGGCCATTGTTATTTACAATTTATCTAAACGACTTCAACTACATAATAGGTTCGCACACAAAAAATTTGTTTGATGATGATACAGTCATATAAAACACAAACAAAATCTTGACAGGTATTCTGAGGAATTTCAAACATTTATTACGAGAACATATTTTAAACTATTGCTTAATATATTTCATTGAATATGTACTTTTTTTTTGGAATTTTCCTATACACTTCTTTATATTTGAATGTATAATCTTTTGTTGTAACAAATTCACGTCATTTTATTTTATATTTCATCATTTCTGTGAAGGTTGAAACAGAAAAACTGCAAATTTTTGTTTAACGTCTCCCACTAAACAACAAAAATTAAGTATATTTCAAAATAATTTAATGGAAGATTTTGATGTGGGAAGTGTTCAAATTAAAATCCTGCATATTTTACCATACATCGTCGTTTCATTGAAGAAGAGCACAAATTTTCTTACGACTACCCTATAAACGTTGTGTTTCACACGATAAAAACTAACCTAATTTTTAACCTTGTTTCCTTGTAAGATCAAGAGATAACGCCGCTAGTCACAATTCTAACATTTTCGGGTTTCATTAATACAGTCTGTTCGGGAATTTGTTTGTCGAAAATCGGGTATTTTCAAACATTTTTAAATGATAATAATACACATCTTGGTGAAAATAATACTAGTTAGGCTCGATATATGGATCTCATGCAGTTACAGATGTTTTTTTTTGGATCTAATCATGCAGTTTTGATAATTCTATAAATAGCAATATATAAATATTCATTGTATAGTTGATAATCAAATGAGTTATGTCATAGGTGAAATGAAAAAAAAATTGTGGTTTATAAGAAACTTATTCTCAGTGGCCAAACTAGTATTTAATTCTTATTTTCAATCTCATATTTGGTTATTTACACTATCCTTCACTTGAAAAGTCAATATGTTAAGTAATATTGCAGACCAAAATTCTGTTCCTTTATCAATTTCAAGACATTTTTGGAAAAAATTTCATAACTACCTAGGACATAACCCATGATATACAATCATTTCGAAGGAGCCGTTGAATTTTATAAAATTTATATATTCTAAATAACGAATACGTCGAGGGTTACCACCACTGCATCTGTTCGACATGCATGTGCATACGTTGCTTGATCCATAATACCGCTAGGTAGACAAATGATGTTATGGTGATGAAGTAGAGAAATGCTGAAAGAATACATCCTGTGCCGTGCTCTTTCAAATCCTTTGCATACCTGAAAATTAAAAGTATGTTTTTATGATATAATGTTTTAATATTATTATAGTTTGCTAAATGTAGACATTGGCGGGAGGGTCAAAATTGATTTCACAGAAATATATAAATTCATCAAAAATACAAATATTAATGTTCAATATAGACAAAAATTATAAATTTAATCAAGTGAGCTGAGTTCAGACTCTAGGTTAGGTTAGGTTCACCGCAACCCGCAAGGGTTTATTGTGGCTCGCACTTATTCACACTCGACCAAATAAACCCAGCTTCTTAACGAAGTTGATTAGTTTGTATTGTGAGTGGTCTTTCAGGTCAGATGGTAAGAGTTCAGACTCTAAATAATTATATAAAATACACAATCAGACTTTGAACTTTGAGGATTAGAATTGAGATACAGGTTCCTGATTTAATTTTTATTGTTTTATTTGAAGAAATTTGTTATAAACCTAGGAACTTTTTGATACCTTCCAGTAGTTCATATATCCTTACGTCTAGATAGTAGAAATTTGAAAATAATCTGAGAGAAAACAACTATTTCAGACATGTAATGCATTAAATGATTCTAAAGCTTTTTCATTTTTAGTCAGTGGTATTCAAATGAATAATATTGTAGTTAGGGGATTTGTAAATAAAATATATTCACTAGGTTCCCTATTACCTTTTCAAATATGGAATGATTATAATTTTGAGATCATAGCTAGGTGAACAATTTTTTTGATATATCTTTCAAGTATTTTTCATTAATTCCTTATAAATATACCGATGAAAGTAATATCTGCTAACATTTCTGTATGAGGAAATTGTAAATTTGATGCCTTTAAATGGAAGTACATTGAATACATTTATATTCAGAATAAAAATTAAAAATTTTTGATGAAACAATTGGCAATCTGTGCTGTAATGAATGTATAGTCTTTGTAGTTTTTCTGCCCAATAGATTGATAGAGTGAAGTACACTTTTTCTAGGTTCCCAGTCTAGTTAACTTTTTGAATATGGCGTTCCTAGAAGATAGCAGAAATAGAGCTACTTTCTTGGGCATCCGTACACTGCACATCTAAGAAAATAGTAGCCTTATCAACTGTGATGGCAGCAAACACTGTGTTAACTAGACAATGGAGGTAAGTCGTGACTGCAACTATACTATACACACCCACTTTCGTAAACCCATACATTTATATACATATATGGTCCTGCTCCTGCTTCATGAGATGGCATATATGTATTATCTTCATGGTCATGAAGATGAGGATATAATGAATTGCTAATAGTCGCAGTAGCTCATGAAGTTTCAGCGATTTTCAGAGACTTGGAAGAAATGGATGTCAGATGTTATCCAAAATACAAAAAAGTAATTGCTCAAATACTCAGAGTCAATGTAATGCCTTTTTTATAATCCTCAATAAAAACCCCAGAGAAATATCAAGCACTTTATTGCCGCCACTCTCACTGGCATGCCATTATGAATTAAAGAAATTGGAATATAATTAATACCTTGCTGCCTTATTTGCTTCAACAGAGTTGTCATAGCTTTGCACTACGAGTCCATCATAGTTGCCTTGAGAATCATGGGAATCAGTCTGGTGCAAGTTCCTTGCTTTTTTATCATTTTCGTAATAAAAAGTCAACTTGTACGGTGGGCTTGTGGGTTCTAAGTTGAGTTCCTGGGTCATTGGGGCGTGTACGGGGGCGAGTAGGTCAGTCTCGCTTTCATTGAGTTTCACAGTCTCTTGCAGAGATTGCGTGTTAGAATTGTGATTAGCGGCGTCTGTCAGTCAGTAACATTTCTTCGTGCAAGCACATTTACGCACGATGTCGATGTCTTTGGTGTACCTGGTGCCATCGTTGCATAAAAGTCGTACCTGCAATTAAAAAAAATAAAATTTTTTGGTAATATAATCGCGAGTTAGTTTTTCAAATTGTAAATTTTTAAAAAAGTGGTTTTAAATTTTGGTAGGTACTTGAACTCCAAAACAAATCAATATTTTGGTTATAATAGAAATTAGATCCTAAGAAATAATATTAAGTGTACATGAATTTAGAAGTAGAAAAAATGATTATGAAAATCACAAATGACCATGGTACATGGATTAATGCCAGTACATTTGTATAGCTGTACCTTTATATCAAATATTTATATATTGAATGTGAGATTAGGAGCTGTATATTTACACTTGAAAACGAATTATACTGATATTAAGTATTTTCATATAAGAGTAATAGCCTTTTGAAATTTTAGGACCAAAATTGTGTTTTAACTACCAGAATAGTGAGATTATGATAATTTTTGCATGGGAGATCCATCTTTTAATTTTCAAACATTAAGGTTGATACGATTGTAACACTGGGGGTAGAAATTATTTCCATTTAATGTTGGAAATCGGAACACAAGATCTTCCACACAAAATGATTTGGTCAGACGAAAATACAGTTTTAAAAATGACATTTTCAATCGTCGAAATAGTCATTACTGGTCAAGAAGGAAACTGCTAAAATAAAATTAGTAGGCCCAAACATCCGTTCGATTCTAGTATGTAAGTTGCAATTTTGGAGACTACAATAATAGATTCTTTTTTCTACAAACATTCTCTAACTTCAGAGCGATGAATGCATATTCATTTGTGACTATCAAAATTATTTTGTTATCAATAATATTTTTTTTTACCTTTCGCCTTTTACTTTTTCTGGCATGGCAGCAACTTGATCCACAAGTGCCAACGCACCTTGCCATTTTCAATGGCTTTCTTGATCTGCATCCATTTTCTGAGTAATGTTCACGAACTTGCTCTTTTCGGCAAGTTGGTGCTGCAAATAACAAATAAATGAACACTGCTGGGTAAACATATTCATTTAATAAAAATCAGTGAATACAAAACGATTAAAGATTTACGTTTTCAGTAGTATTGAATGAAGCATTTGCCTATTCGCCATTAATGTCAGATATAACCATGATTTTTTATAGGCTTTTATGGTTAATCTCCCTCCACCGATTATAATGCTCAGCTGAAGCAGAAAATTAGTAATGTGAGTCGGCATACTTACACTCCTCCTCACCTTGCTCGCAGTATTTGCCCCTGAAGCCGGGCCTGCATTTGCAAGCATACTCTCCGTTGCGCGTTGCAATACACTTGCTGTCGTGTTTGCAGTGATTGCCAAGACAGGGATCGGGTGGACTTGCTGCCTCTTCCACCATTTCATCCATTTCATCTTCTTGTTCTTCATCTTCTTTGTCAGCGTCTATCATGCCACAACCAGGTTGTACTTTCTGCTGAATTTTGGCGTTCCCAAAGTCTACAGGTTTGTGGTTAATCCAGACTTCTTTCATACAACCTATGAAAAAATAATTGGCTGTAATTGAGAAAATATTATCTCTTTTGAAGAAGGAAACTATAATTTCCATCTTGAAACGTACATTCGTTAATAAGAAAATAATTCATCATATCTCATAAAAATAGAAAATCGCTAAATTGGATCCTAATAGGTGGTACTGGTCTCAGTTCTGGAAATTATAAAAAAAAGACAAAAACAAAATTTTCTTATAATGTTAATGAAGATCTGTGGTGTATACTGATCATACATGTTTTCATGTTTACATATCAATAGGAAGTTCGGTATGTCGGTAAGTCGGGTCTACTGCAACTCACGAGAGTTTATTGTGCCTCGTACCTATTCCAACTTGACCAATCTCATTCCAACTTCTTAACGAAGGCAATTACTTTATTTGGTGAGTGATATTTCAAATAATCTTGCAAGGGTGGGACACTGCTAAGTGCTGAAAACCTGATCCTTTCCGCGGAGGGGCAGGACAGATCACAACATAGGTCCTCAATTTTATTGTGAAGAATTATCCAGTCCAAGGTTGGCATGGTACATCTTCAATCTAGTGAGGACCGGATCGGCGATCTGGCGTATTTCAGGGAGGGGAACCTTTGATAGCTACTGAGTACTAACTTCACCCACCAGACTGAAGACAATGTCTTGATCCTCACACGTAACCTGTAACTATCCAAGCCGGAATATTTAGCTTCCATCTTCTTTAAATTCTCTAGGCAGACACAAAGACAGACTGAATAGATTCCAGTTGTTTGGTCGACATTATCGAATGTTCAAGGCGCAAGATTTCCACCATAATGACCCCAGCAACCCTCAAATATGAGGGCTTCTATGAGTCAGCTTTATCTGAATATACACTAGATTCAACTATACAGGTCTTTTCCGCGTGAACCATATTTTGAGTAAGTGTTTACTAATCTGCTGAAGGGACTTGATTCCCCTCCTAATGCAGATTATATTTCTGCTACTCAAGAATTTGGTGCAAGGCAGATTGATTGATTGACTTTCGAGGAGGCTATAGGTCACTTAGCTTTCTATGTTTGTTACCAGGGTCAAAGATGGAGAACTGAGAAGCTCTTGCTCTTGGTATGATGTTACAGGGAGGAAAATCATGGTCTTTTAGCCGGCGTTCATCTCCTTCTTAGACTCAGGATCGGATTCCTTGGTTACTTCCTGGTCCATAAAGAGATTCATTAGTAGCTGAGGAAAGGACATCCATCACCAAAGTGTCTCAAATTACCATTACCAAAGCCTTTTCAGGTCATTATTTACATATACTGTGTGGAAAAATCATTTATCTATCTAAGTAATCACAAGTATTATTCTTCAGGCAATTCAAGTTCATTTAATTTTGTATGGCACAATACCTCATTTGAAGTCTAATAGCATAAGATTAAGTTAGCACGTGGGATTTTTCACAATTATGACGAACACTGATTAAATTTGAGTTCAATTTTTTTACAAACAGTCTCTAGTTAGCCTCATTTGAAAATTTAGAGGTTGCAACTCTAAGTGTGTTCAGATGTTCCATGCCAAAACATAGTATGTGAAAATTTGATGATTTCTCAAACAAGCGTAAAAAAGGTGAAGAAAGGAGTAGATACTGTATTTTGATCATGCTATATCTTCGGAACCAGTATTATACCTCCAAACTCGTGAATGATGAATAGACTACCTCTGAATATGTGTCCAAAAACCATATGTGCATTTGGTGTTATGTATTTTCGCATGGACCTGTCGTGTCAAACAAATAGATGAAATTTTAAAATATAAAATTCTATAAATATGTTCAATAACTGAAGTCAAGAATTTAATCCATTTGACTCTTGTACAGTATATATTATTTTGTGAAATCAAATTTTATTCCATGAATCAGATACTCTGAATGCTAATGACTACAATGCAAAGTTATTTAAACTTGACTTGCTCATATTTAAAAAGTTCAAGCTTCTTCTAGCTACATCATTGGCAAATTGAAAACATAGTCTGATCATAAATTAAAAGAATCATATTTTCATTATTTTAGGAGAGTGAGATCCTTGTTTTCTGTACAGTAAAAATTCTCTCCTTTCGCTAACTTTTAAATGAGATATCAAGGTCAGATAAAATTTCCATTAAAGGGCATTATTTTTAATACTTTATGGCGAAGATCACAATTTGATGTTACTAGTTTTCGAGAGGCTCTATCAAACCTTTTGTGAATGGAAAAGGATCTCGTTTCATAAGTTTTTCAATTTTCAATCCAACACTGGTTCATTTTTGTAACTCAGACCAGCCATATCCCAGTAAATGTTCAGAATGTTGTTATTCAGTTCCTGATAAAAATGAAGTTGATTTACGAATTTATTTCTCCCATTTTGGAGTGTTTCTCTAGTAATTTTGTCTATATTCTATCGGAACATTTAATAAATAGGATTTGCACCTGAAAAATAGTTCATGCAAACCCAAATGAGTTTTCAACTGATGTTATGTTTTAGAAAGATGGTGCTTCCCTCATTATGACGGGTTGGTTGCAGCATGGCTGGATGAGAATTATCCAAACTCATAGATAGGCAACGAAATTACCACAAATATAAAAATTATATAAAACTGGTAATAAAACAGTATCGCTTGGTCTGAAATAAAAAAATAAACCAGTAGTGGATAGAGTATTGAAAAACTTATACAATGAAGTTTCATTCTCTCCATTTGAAGAACAATGTTTTTGTCTTTTTTAATGAATAACCACGTATATTGACACTTACCATAAAAACTAGTCAAGTTTCGCAAATGCCATTGTGTGAAAGCCTCTAGACCAGGTTCCGGAGGAATACCTCCCAAATACATGGGAGTTGTCAACCTCAAGTATTCCTTAGATCCTTCGTTGATTATGCTCCTTGCCAATCCTCTATCTACACGTAAAGTAAAATTTTTCTTGACTGCAATTAATTCAGCAATGTGATACTGCCCGTCAGAGACCATTTCAAAACTGAAAAAAAAGTAATGATTTTACAGAAATTGTCAACTCTACCGCTTATAGTTTTTCTGACTCTTACCTGTACATGGTTGAAACAGGGTAGTTTCCAATATCATAACTCACTCTAATCCTTCCATTGAATAACTCAACAGCTAAATGTTCTTGATGTCCATCGTACATTAATACACCATTTTCTTGGGTTGTTGCAAAAACTATAGTAACATTGGCTTCAGGTTTTGTTCTCAGGGGTTCCAGTTCTACATATGACGTGTTATGGATAAAACTGAGACTTGTCAAGTATTCACAACGTTTCCCTGAAATAATTGTTGAAATAAGTACCTATACTGTTTATATACTCATTATTGAGTGAGCAACTAATGAAAAATGTAGGATACCGGTGATAATCTGAAAACTATGAAAACACCAACACCGAAATATTCAGATGAATTAGTTAGAAAAAAAGAAATAGAACCATAGAATGAGAAAAAACAAACAATCAAACAATAAGTATAAAATTTCCAAATGTAAGGATGCTAATTTGTAAAGTAAACAAATGATTGTGTCCTGAAATGGAAATGTGTTAATAAATGGGCTAAACAAAAATGAAAAAATCATTAAAAATTTAAGAGAAACTATGGTGATGAAAAAAATTGAAAGTAAGCTAATTCGCAATATTTTGATTGTTAGTATCCACACTTTTCTTTGGGTGGAATAACTGGCTTATTCCTGATACTTCAAGACCACTTATAGATGACTTAGTTTTTTCTCTTTCTTTTCAGTTTTCAGGTTCCTATTTATCAATGCAGTTAGTCTCATGCAATCTTTGTGCATTCATTGCAACGGTAAATTCTACCTGCAATCCCTTGTCTGCAGGTAGAATATTGATGGTTTTTTCTTCATGGCTGATATGAGAAGTTTTCTTCTCATCAATTTAAAATCAGTTATCTCCTTATTAAAAGAGTGGAGGTCACAACCAACCAACGAATGTCGATCATATTGGGTATAACTTTATACTTTTCATATTTGAAGTGTTACTATTAAAAGTCATAAAGAAAACTATGAATTAAACATAAGTTTGAAGAATCCGCCGACGAAGAGAATTTTGATCATAGTTCAAGAAATTCGTAGGATAACGGTTATTATCACTTCAAAACTCTCCAGTTGCATGATCTCCATTACGATTACAAACCCACTACAACTATTAAAAATGTTTTCACAACATGGACACATCAACGTCAACTGTAGACATTTAATATTTGTAAAATTGAATCCTCAGTCATACATTTTCTGAGAAGTTTCCTGTTCTCACCTCTTTTTTTGTATATATTTTTTATTTTGAAGGGTTTTTCATCAATACATTTCGTATGTATTATTTTTAATATTATAAATATTGAATATTACTGGATTTTTATCCCAACACCAAACCGTTATTTTTAACATCTCGACAAGTGTTTTGATCACCAAGTGATCATATTGAGCTTAATATTCCTGTTGAAGATGATCATTTGGTGATCAGAACACGTGTCGAGGTGTTAAAAAATAACGGTTTAGTGTTGGGATAAAACTCCAGTAATATCCATTACTACACCAAAAGTTCCAAACAGTGCATCACAAGTATTAAAATTATTGTTGAATAAACCCCTGTATCGTTTTCAGATGTTCTTTTTTTCTAGGACCAGAATTCAAAGAAAGTAGTACCTGAGTATCCGGGAGCACACTTGCAGACATAGTCATTAGATCCCGATGGCTGGAAACACACTCCGTGGACACAATCATGATGCTGGCAAGGCGAAGTCTGGGGGTACATCATGGCCACAAAGGGTGTTATTTCACAGAATTTACCAGTATATTCGCCAGTACATTTGCAGAAGTACTCGTTAATACCATCTACACAACTGGCGCCGTTCTACGAAATAAAGAAAAACAGTAGAATGATTGATATTTCCATTACGGTTGCAAGTGCTTGTTATATGTTGGGAAATGTATTTGATCTGGCGCCATCTAGTGCCAACCTTTACAAGCTCATTGATTTTGTATCATTATCATACTGTGTAGTTACATGAAATTAATATTTTTTTGAATCAATATTTACCTGGCACATGTGGTTCTCGCAGTCGTCAATATTTGTGGTGCAGTTCTCGCCCTTAAAACCAGGTAAACACTCGCAGTTGTAATAAGTATCGTGATCAACGCAACGAGCATTATTTTTACAAGGATTATATTGCTCTGTACAAAAGGGAATTTTCCGCTCACAATAGTCGCCCATAAATCCAGCGGGGCACTTGCACTGGTACGAGTCGACTAAATCCAAGCAGGTAGCATTGTTTTGGCATTTGTTTCCAAGGCAGTCGTCAATATTATGCTCGCAGCGCAAACCGGTGAATCCCGGTTGACACTCACAGCTGGAAGACAGAAAACATGTAGATTATGAATATGATTATAGTCAACTTTTAACCAAGTTGAATATAAAATCATTGGAAGATAGGAGAATTTCTATGAACTTGAGTTTTCTCTTCAAATTAATAAATAGTGAGATAAAGTGCCCAGAACTACTTCAACTAATAACTTCTCATATCAAACAAAAAGATACGAGAAATCCTGACATTTTTCATGTGAATTTTTTACATACCAATTATAAAATTACCATTTTATTTGTAAGTACCAGATTTGTTACATCTTTTTCCTTGTAAGTACCAGAATTGTTTCATCTTTTAGTAATGTAGTCACTAGACATGAGGATTTATTAATATTTTGTATTTCACATTTTGCTAAATGTTTTGTAAAATCGTAAATTGTAATGTAGACATCAGACATGAGCATTCAAAAATACTTTGTAGTTCCTCACACTTTGTTAAATATGTTTTTGTAAATTGGCTTCGCCGTTGAATAAATAAATAAAGAACTTATTCTGGACCATTTTTGATTACATCACAGCGTTGTGTTTATTGAAGGTGACAATGACAATTTTAAGAGAAAAAATGTTGAGGCTCGATAAACTTTTGCAACAACAGCACTGGAATAATAAAATTATAGGAGCAGGGCTTTTGACAACTTGAAGTGCCAGATTAATTTGGAATTTGTGAGAATATTCAATAAAGCTGTAGCAACTACTCTCAGACATAGTAGAATTTAACAACATATTTGTTGATGAATAGAGTAAAAGGAATGTCGGCCTTGAGCTATATCCAAATTATACTTAAGAGTTCTGGAACGAAACACCTTTATAAAATGGTTGAGTCTGAAGTGAAGCATTGAGATAGGTGGAATTTTTATATATCTTTCTATTTCATATCAACTAGTCAGTTTTCTGAATGAGTGATTCTTTATTTTTTATATTTTCCTCTCAAGATAAAGTTTATCTTCAGTTACGTGATGACGTGACTGCAGAAGCTATGTATTTATTGATACTTGACAAAGGCATCCAACAAAGTACATCATGAAATTTCGCTAGAAAACGTCATCTATGGATTAAGAAGTAATGTTTTATCATAGTTTCAATCATATTCATCAGACCGTATTCAGAAAGTAAACTTCAAAAATATGAAATCAGAAAAATATTTATTGAAACTTGACAAAGGCATCCAACAGAGTACATCATGAAATTTCGCTAGAAAACGTCATCTATGGATTAAGGAGTAATGTTTTATCATAGTTTCATTCATATTCATTAGACCGTATTCAGAAAGTAAACTGCAAAAATATGAAATCAGAAAAAAAATTAAATTGAATTAGGGGTACCTCAGGGATCTATCCTGGACCGTTTGCCCTTTTTTATTAATGACCTGGCTGTTTATTTCTGTAGAGATAAATTCACGGTATTTGTTGATGATTCGCCTCTACTTTGGCATAATAATAATGTTGATAAACTTCTATTGAATAAAAAATGGCTTGGAAAAAGTGAAACAATGATGTGATGCATATTGTCATTCAATATAGGTATCCCAAAAAATAAATTCACCTTAGATAATTTTTTCTTGACAAGCAAATTTCACAACAGAATAAATTCTAAGAACTTTATTCGACATTAAATTGAACTTTGGGTCCCATACTAGGTAATTATGTAAAAATTTATCTTCAGTATCTTTGCCTAAAAATCTGATTCAGCTTTCATTCGCAAGAAATGCCTACTTCGCCGTTTGTGAATCACACCTGCTTTATAGAATGTGCTTCTAGGAGGCAAGTTCTCAAACATCAATAAATCCTGTTTCCTTTCTTCAATATCTGAGATATATGTGCAAAATTAAAGTTCAAGATTACTGTAAACCTCTTCCCTCAGGAGATCATATACTATCATAAGCTTGCTTTTTTCCAACAAAGCTATTTATCACCACTAAGTCTTTTTTTATTTGGAACATCTAGACTCATATATTCAAATACCTGATAATATCATTTATTGCAGAAGTACAACACAAAAAAAACAAGTGGTTCAATTAATATTTTTACATATTTCTCACCTGAATCTTCCTTCTTCCAGAACTTTGCAAGTACCCTGGTTCCTACAAGGGTTCCCATAGCAAGCATCAATCATGAATTCACAGTTTTTTCCATGATATCCAGGCGCACATTTGCATTGATAATCTCTTTCAGGCATTGTAACACATTTTCCATTATTTTTGCAGGGGAAAGTGTAACAAGCATCACATTTTGCCAAAATATCATTACCAATTTTTCCTGAAGAAAGAAACAATTTTATTTATGTTCACACTTACGAATATAAATGGTTCAAATAAAATTTTTCATAGACTCTACCTTTGCAAATGAATGCTGTAGATGGAGTGGACAATATGGATTTATCCTTCATATTAGGAGGTTCACCACAATGAGCTATTCCTGGTTCGACATAGTCGATTTTTACCCACTCAGAGAGCCACCTCAGAGAACAGTCACAGTACAATGGATTGGAACCTAGAGCTCTTAAAAAAAAAGGAAAAGAATAAGTTCATCAATCTTAACATATATTTTTAGAAATTACTCACATATGACTGATGGATTTCAAGTTGGCAAAAGTTCCTTCAGGAATTAGAGAGATTTGATTTCCGTGGAGAGATCTACAAAAACCATTATATTTGAAAACGATCATAAAAAGGTGGTCGATACTGTTTCATGCGAAACCTTGTTGGCTTTTACAATTATAATTACTGCATTTTGAGATTGATGACCGTCATGTTAAGGAAATGTTCAGAAATTCACCTAACCCCAAAAAGCAATGCACATAATAGAACCTGATCCCGAAATCCTCATTCAATTTATCACCCCCTATAGTTTCCTATCAGATTAAAATTTTATTAATTTCACAAACATCTATAGATATATCATTCTGCGTAGAGATAAAATTCAATAGAAGCATTCTGCTAATTAAATGAGAAGCAGGTATTCCCAATACAAATTGAAACTGGAACCTCTGGTGTAGAATAAATCGTTTTACCAACCAAATTGGTGTTTTCAGAACATGAAGATGCCAATTTGGTTGGTGAAACTCACATCGAGACAAGTATTGCATTTCTGGTGATTGGGAAAAGTGCTTGTTTTGGAAGTAGGCATTCTTAAATTTTTCAACTAGAACCATTTTGGATGAATTCCGAAAGAAATAAACCAGATACATTCTTATCAAATGCAGTTGACATTTTTAGAGACTTGAAAGTATAAGCTGCCTTTTTATTCTGGTTTCTTCTGTTTGTCTTGACTAGTCTGATAAATGTTGTACCAGTAATGTATATGTTATATATGTATGATATTTTAATGATGAATAAATTCTATTCTATTATATTCTTTAATAATTTTCTATTACTTACAAAATTCTCAGTGATGTTAATCCTTGTAGAGAATCCCTCTGAACACATTGCAATTTGTTGTAACTTATTATGAGTGTAGATAATTTTGAGAGATTGGTAAATGTATCATTCGACAACATTCCTATTCTGTTGTTACTCAGATCTCTGAAAATTAGGAGTCACTATTATAACAAATTATATTACAATTTTACACCACTCACAGTCTTGTCAAGGACTTCAGATGACTTATTCTGTCTGCTTGAATTCTGTCGATATCGTTAAAATCTAGATATAGCTCTGAAGTTTCAGGTGGTATGCCTCTTGGTACCTCTTTGAGTTTGGCTCTGGAACAACGGACCACTGTACCAGTGCAAGAGCACATAGGTGGACAGTAGTTTTCTCCCAAACAACCTTGGTCATTTTCACCTAAACAAAGTGGGATTGAGAAATTATTCGAGTCGATTCAAGCAGTGTAAACTTGCTAAATGTTGTATATAATAGAACATACTTACTTGTACATTTAAATTCGGTTTTGGGAAGTTCTCTAATAAGAACATCTTTCACTCGATCTGGTCCTGCACATCTTGGAGCAGAACCACTAAGTCCTTTATTTTTTAGCCATTCTGAGAACCATGCCAAGTGACAGTTACACATGAAAGGGTTCTGTACAAGGTTCCTTCAAAACAAGAATGGCATCAAATAACACAATCTTGATTATATTTTATTTGGTACTCACAGTGTATGGAGAGATTGGAGAAAATCAAAAGATCCGGGCATCACACAAGTTATCTGGTTGTTATTCAATGACAAAACTTTCAAGTGGTGAAGTCCAAGGAACATTTTGTTGTGGATTTCTAGTAGTTTGTTCTCAGACAGCAATCTACAAGAAATATTAGAAATATATGTAATAACAACAAAAATTACTCTTACAATTCAGATATCCTCGAAGCTCCCTCAAAAGAGTTCTCCTCAATACCAGTAATCTGATTCCTTCTCATGTCCAACTTTACCAAATTTGGTAATCTTCCGAATAAGCCATCAGATTTTATTCTCCCTAAATCATTGTCATGTAATAGTCTAAAAAATAATTTTGATAAAACAAGCTTATTTCTCTCAAAGGCTTTGCTTACAATTCTGTGGTGTAAAGTGGAATGTCTCTTGGTATTTCTTTGAGGTTACGACCAGAACAGTCCACAATGGTACCTTCGCAAGAACATCCAGAAGGACAAGCGTTATCAATCAGGCATTCCCCTGCATACCGAGTCCTAAACTCTTCCTGACCTGTTGTTGAAACTTATTAAATCAATTTCAAAGTCTACTGTTAACAGCAGAAACAAAAAATTCATAACAGACGACAAACATATCTATACTAGCAACATAAATGTAATCTATTCCAAACTTAGATATAGGTATTGAAGTACAAAGGGGCCCATGCTTTTAAACTGGCCACAGTGAATTGGAAACAATAATTCAGTTGAGTAACATTCCTGAGCAGAGCAGTGCTTCTCATAATTATTCTTCAAGTAACTTAATTATCAATAATGCTAGCAAAACTCATTGTAGAGTATTTATATTGAAAAAATATTAGCATACGACTTTTGAAATAAAATACAATACGTCACTTGACAGCAGGTAAGCATATATTCAAAAGATGGTAATGACAACAACCTTCAGAAAGTCAAGAGAGACACCATCTGTAGGACCGACAGAAAATTCAAACTGCTCCACAGCAGTCTCTTGCAAAGCCAAGCTTAAAAATCGATCACCATATGAGGAACCTCTTTCTGTCTTCTATCTTTCTGCAACTTTCACTGTAAACAGGCTCCAAAATGATATTAATTTCAAAGATAAACGAGGGTCCTCACGGCAGGCAGTGGCAAAACCAATCTTGAATTGATAAAAATAGATCATGTTTTGCAGAGTGATGCTCAAAAATTAATTTTAGAACTTTAGATGGAAGAATTTTTAGCTCTTTCAGCATGTCTCCTCATCTGAAATATTGACAGATTTTGATCCATAAACCCAATCCAAAATGCTACAACTGACTTGAGTTTACATTAATGAAAATAAACCATTTTTAGAACTAGAGTTTGGGTGCAAAAATTAGCTTTTTAGGTATGTGTTCAAATGGGTAATATCGATTAATGATAATCCTCAAAGAGCTTTTTTTATTAAAATGTTAATTTTTCACAAGCATATTTTGTGAAGTCAATTTAAACAAAATATTTTGTAATAATGTTGAATCCACTGAGCTTTATCCAATTTTCTGTCTTATGAAGAACTATAATGTTGTTTATGAATGAATTAACTTAGTATGGTAAGTCAATGAATCTTTAAAGTATGTAGTGAAGAAAAGTGGTCCCATAATGATTTTTAGTAGAATATCACGTGAAAAAATTTGTGGATAACTCGATAATAATATTATTCTACCCCATGAGAAAAAAAAACCAAATAACTGCTTCAACAGAGCAAATACACTATTCGTTTAGATGATATCTGAACAACAGATCTTAGCTGCTTGCAATGCAACAAAGAAGAATATGAGGTATTGGCAATTTATCCATAACCAAAACTAAGTCCAGAAGAATATAACAAACATCTAACAAAGACCAACTAAACAGGAAACAAGATTGCACGAAGAGATAGGAGAAAATATCAAGTTCAAGAGGCTGCAGTATTTTTACAAGATGCAAAAAAATAGGGTACCCTAAAATGATTGATATGGCTGTATCTATACTTTTTACTAATAGAATATACAAAGTTTTAGTGTGTTTTAGTGATCAACTTCTGAATTTTATAAAAATTTCAGCAAAGTGATGGGCCTGTAATAGAATTTGAAAATGAAATAGAATCTGCCCTAGCTACGAACACAACATAATGAAAATGAGATGAAACCAAATATCAAATAAATAAAAGAAGCTTTATGAACAGCATTATTAGAAATGATGAATGTTAAATGAGACACCATAACCACTGATCAAAGTGGAAAGGTGCTTACCCTTACATTTGAACTTTTCATCCTTCAGAGATTCGATCCTTCTCCTCTGCATTCGTTTCGGCGTTTCGCATCTTGCGCCTGAAGTCTCTATGGGATTTCGATGCAAGTATTCTGCCAGCCATTTTAAGTTGCAGTCGCAAATGAATGGGTTCCTAGCAAGGTGTCTGAAAAAAATTGAAATGAGACTGGAACTGGAACATTTTAAAGAACTTACAGAGTCTGGATGCTTCGAAGGGAGTCGAAACTGCCGTTAGCTAAGGATTGTATGTTGTTATCATAAAGAGACCTGTGAAAATTGACGAATTATTCAAAATATAAATTTCAGTGAGACACTTACAGTAAACTCAGGCTGTGTAAGTCTTGAAAGGTATCTTTTCTTATACAGGAAATTTCGTTGGCATTCAGTAATCTGAAAAATCAACACATTATTGAATAAACTACAAACAACAATTTTAGAAAAACTCACAGAAGCTGGAGGGACACTAGGCCTTGAAATATCCCAGCAGGAAGATCTTTGATTTTGTTGCCATATAAAACTCTGTAAAGTAAATGAATGTTATTATAGAATATTGTTCATTGGAAAGACTGAACTCACAGAGAAGTTAAAGCTTTGAGGCCTTGAAATGCATCTGAGGCTATTTTTGCTATTTTGTTGTTACTTAAATCACTGGAACAAAATTAACATTATTGTTTAAGTATATTAGACTCACGACAATTTACTCACATTCTTCTTAGGCGTTTGTGTGCAACAAATGCTTTGGTTGGGATTTCGATAATTTCGTTTTGTTCGAATCGCCTGAAAATCAGAAAAGGTATGTTGAGAGGTCTATTTTCTAAGCTCTGTTAAATCAAAAAATTTATAATATGCATTCTTGTACACTACTCCCAACTTATACCTCAACTTTTTCCTTATATACATATTTTACTTGTCTGAAAATCGTGTATTTTTTGCTTTATTTGGAAATATAACTACTATTTTCATGACTTGAAGCAAGAACAAACTTTTGAAAAAGGATCATTTGAAATGTTTATATATTACTTTAATTCAGTGACTTTTTTTATTGAAAAATGTTGAACTTGCCACAAAAATCATCCGAAAAGATTATAATCATTTTGAAAATGATTTCAAGCTGTATTAATATAAAAATTGCTTTTAACATTGGGAAATGTCCTCAAAAACGCTTCAGTTCATCATAATCGTTGGTATTCCAAACAAAAAAACTCATTAAACAACACTTTCAAAGAACAAGAATGAATTTATTTTTTGAAGATGGAATTCTGATTTATTTGAAGTAGAGAGATATGAAAAATGGATTTGGGAAACGGTTTTGGACAAAAAAATAAATAAAAAACACTGAATTCAATGTTAACTAACGAGTGAAAGTTGATTTTTGTAAAAAAAGTGTAATATTTAAGTTCTACTTAAACTATTTAAGTTTGTCAACAATTTCTTAGTAGTTCTTGAAAGCTTTGGAGCCATTTTTTGATAAACCCTTGATTTCTTATAAGGTAGGTAGGTACTCAAGTATTTGAAAATTGGAAGTTACCAACAAGATTATTTATTACGTAAGAGTGATTTTCAATTCAATTCTCAAATTTATTGTTAGTTTTGGGAGTCGTTTTTTCCAAAATTCACTTTTAAAAACCTTCAATTTATATTTGTGTAACCCACATAACAATAAATATCTAAAAAAACGAAATCAATACTGAAAATAGTAACTTCTATATTTTTCCCAGGGTTTACTTTTTAAACCCACCAATCCATATTTCTTTATACATACCCAAAAAATACAAAGTGTCACGAAAAACTAATTATTTCGATGCTTTTTAATTAAAAAGTGATGTTACATAAAATTACAAGCAACGTAAATAATTTGCTCTTGAGTGTTTCAAAAAGTATGTAAGAACATTAGAAAATACTATTAAATAAACATTTTTCACCCTAGAGTCAATGGTGAAACTTCTTTTCTACAATTATTCTTAAATTTAATTAAGGGGGCGTCTCTGAGACAGTGCCAAGAAACAGCCCCACGCGTACAAAAATTGCGTGCTGGGTATGTCTTGATTCCCATACCCCACGAATCCATAGGACTCGTGTGCTATCCAGTAACAAGCACCCTTTTTAGCTGTAAAGCAAAACTCGGTTCGATATAAACCCTTACTGCCAGCAGTCGATTGCGACTTGCATATACCGCCCTCTAGGGACAACTTTGTAAACTCACATATCCAGACAGTTAGTTGCCGGTTGTTAATTGGACTGAAGGTGAGGTGAATCGGTTAACTGGACTGATTTTCACTTGAAGCGAAACTTACAATTCGGTTATTCCTTCGGGAAGATGATCGGGAACGATTATGAGTACTTTTTCACGGCAATCGACTATTCCGTCGGCACATCTACAGGGATGAGGGCATTGAGGTTCACTGATACATTCTCCGTTTATGGGACGTTCCACCAGTCCTAGAAAAATAAAATTTCAAATTTGATATTTAGTTATTGGACATATGTTTTTTATATTATCAGCGTTTTATTTGAGGAAATGTTTTTGGGTAACAAATAATTATTTATTGATAATTACATCGAGTATTATAAGAATTAATAGGAGTTTTAATTTTTATGCTGAATATTGATCAAAACATATGAACAGTTGTATAAGTTAGATTAGTTTGATAAAATAGTACTATATGATCTGTGTTCCCGGCTCAAGCTAAAATACAAGTAACAATTGTAATTGTTTTGACGATTTTGATTGAGTTAATAATGTGATCCAAAGAAATTAGATAACGAATAATAACACTATCTATAATAATAATTATTACACAATTGTCACACTAATAATTGTGTAAATATCATCATGAATTAAAGAAATGAGATTCACTTTTTGATAAATAATCTCATTGCCATGAGCAAGGTTTCGTACAAGTAGAGGCGATAAAAATATGACCAAATAATCTAAGCCACAAGTGAAGAGCTAAGGGGAATTAGCAAGTATCTTTACATGAACGCATGGTTGGCTGCCTAACTTTCAGTGGAGATATTTATATGAACCAGCTTCATAATTTGGAACATAATAGTAACAGCGAAGTTTTTCCGAATCCGAATGAAACATTTTTGACAGTGCAGTAGTAAAAACTTCCAAAAACCTAATATAAGTATTACATGCCTAAAATATCTTAAAACTACTTTTATTGAAAAGATATTGTTCGGAAATGATCCAAATCGAATAAGCATAGATATAAGGTTCAGCTTATCTTTGAAATTAATGAACTCCTTTCTGTTCTTTGGATATATTCGGTAATGTGCAAGATGTTTTGCTCGACAAATACATTTTATGAAAAATTGAAAAAAATACCGATGTTTAAGAGTAGGTACCCCAGTTATTACATAGAAAACAATACAGAAGTGTCAATTTTTTTTGACGGAAAAACAATCCAAAGTAAGAGCAGTGTGAATTGCAACTGAAATAATTTTTTCCAAAAATCAGGTAAATAAATAGACTGAAATAATCAAGAATTACTTTGTAGTGAAATATATAGAAATTCAAAACAAGAGAGGATTAATAGATACAGAAATTATAAATGGATATTAGAAATATTGGAAAACAAGCAAAAAAAGAAGAAAAAAACAAACAATTACGGAAAACATACAAAAATAGTAAAAAATAACAGCAAAATGAATATTATAGAAAAGATACTGAGCACATAAATAGGTGAAGAAAACACAGAACAAAATTTAAGAGATAGTGAAATTAGCAGCTTGAAAATTTGAAAACAAGATGCAGATGAAATAAAGGAGAAATTAATGATGCATTTACAATGGATTTTATAAAGTATAAAGGTAGACGATTGAAGGAAATATGTGCAAGTCTGAAGAAGATTGAAAGAAAAGAAAGAAAAAATTCTAGATTCCAATTTATATCTCACTATTTTAAAATTGGAACTCCATAATTTTATTGCTATCAAGCCCAGTAAACCTAAATGAATGAATAATTCATTATAATTTACCTGAAAAAATAAAAGTGTTAGTTCTAATTTCTTTTGACACAAATCAAATTGTGGAAGGTTATAAACCCAAAAAAAACACTATAAAATATGGAGTCCTCCACAAAAAATGTCGTTTAAAAAAATTTACCTGAACACTTGAACTCTTGATCCTGGAGATCCACCAGAGCTTGTCCTTTCAGGTGTGTCGGAGAGTAGCATCTCGTATACTGGGCTAACCTAGGAGAATGCCTTAGGTACCTGGCCAGCCAAGAAAGTTGACAGTCGCAATGGAAAAGATTCTCGCTGAGTCGAAGAGTCCGCAGCCTAAACATGTTGCTGAACATGTCTTTGCCCAACCATGTGAGATTGTTATTGTTGAGAGTCCTAAAAAAAGCACGAATATATTCAGAATACATCGAAATGAACTGTATACATGTTGCTAGTATAACTTTACATTGCTTGTCTTATATAAGACTATAATATTATATGTCCCGACTCACGACTGGAAGGTCGTGAGTTCGATTCCAAACTCGACTAGATATTTTTCTCGAGAGAATTTATCTAGTTGAAGTTGGGATGATTCTGCAACGTTACATAGGTGGCTCAGGGAGTTATTAACATTGCATACCCAGGACACGAGGCTAATGACCAATGCGGTCGATGCCGATGACACCAAGATAAAAAAAATTATATGTGTATGTTATTTGTGTTCTTACTTCAAAAATGGCCTCAAATATATTTTGGATCCATATTCAAATCTACCAGAGAAACGAAATTAAATACACGGTAAAGATCGAACCAAAAATTCTATCATGAACTATTGTAGTTAATTTTTCACAGTTAAACAAAATTTTTTGGCAATCCCGAACAAAGGCGCTCCTCTCGTGAACTTTCTTTTTCATCTGCAGTGTATTGATTCGCAATTTTCACAACACTGTGATGGGTATTACTGACTTTGCTTCTCTTATTACTAGCAATAATATCATAACTTCAATTGTCTAACATAACAAACCGAACGTCGTCAATTTATTTGATCTTCGTTTTCAGATGTTTCAATAGTCATTCTGCTTTTTTGGGGGATGGCAAAACCAACAAATCAAAAATCATGAAAATCTGTCCAGCAATAACCAAGGTTATATCTCAAAATTACAGCAACGACCGTCACTTCGAGACATAATCTTCGTCCTCGCAGTCATCAAACATGCGACTGATGATGTCTGCCTTAGTAGCAGCCGAAACGTTCGGTACTTTAGGTTCCATTCGACAACGGCCTTCCAGCCCGAATTTTGTTCTCTTTAATCACTACTCCGGTCGCTGTAAAAGCCTATTTTCAAGGTTTGGTAAAGATTTACACAATGGTGTGTAGTGAAAATGTTGATATTGGGTGAACTAAAAATTTTGCCCTTTCTATAAAGTGGATAACTTTCCATTTTTTTATATCATTCAAATTGTGAAAGGTGAAAATACTCATAAAAAAATCATATTTTATACTCGTATTTTATACGCTATTACCTAGCAATTTAAATATTCCAGTAACCGGAACATTAGACAGAGTTATTCCCCATTCGTTGTTGAAATTCAGAATGTCCGCAGTTCATTAGTAATGAAAACAAGTATTTGAGAAGTATAAAATACTTAAATCATAGAAAATAGGTACAATGAGCAACATTAAACTTCAAAAGTTAGTGATACGTAGTCAATTGCCGATTTTGAACTTTGACGTTAACGGTTTTGTTAAGCAGCAGAAGAAAATAATGCTTTTTTAAAGTGTGTGTTCCTTCGCATTAAATATTATTGATTCGTTGCCTAAAATGTATTTCTTCGAGAAGATACCAATGAGATACGTCATTTAAAAATGATGATCAATAAGCTCATTGAAGACTTGCAGTTCGTTTTATCATTCTTCAATTCTTTTACATAATCAGTTTCATCGACAAGGGAACTGCATAATTTTATAATTAATACAACGCTACACTGATCGTCAAAACCAAAACAACTTCATTACGTTAACTCCTCTCTTCAAAAATACTAATTGAATAAACGGAGCCTGAGACTATTTATCAGTACGGATAACGTACATAATTGGTTCATTATTAACGGCACGTCAAGGTAACACAACACGTGACTCCATTATATCTTCACGATAATAATGTGCTGGTAACGTTATTCTCGCGATCTCGTGGATATCCGGGATATTGATTTACGTTTTGAAAGCAACAGGTTCTTTCCCCTCGGCAATACATGCCACCCCCTCGAAGATGACTCAAACCTTTCATATTCGTATTCAGAGTGATATTTGTGTCATTATATACTCTGTATATGAATACATCCAGCATGGAAAAATCGGAAACCGTGAGAGATCCAAAATCGGTTAAGTTATCAAAAAGTTGATTATTTTAGAGATTATTTTAATGACTTTTTTGAATTTAGCTTAGTTCCGGAGATATTCGAAAAAACTAAAGTAGCTACAAATTTCGTTTTAATTTTTTTCTGACGTTATTTTAATAGACGGTGAATAAATTTTTTGCCAAAAAAATTATCCTATCAAATTTGTCTATTTCTAGTCATGTGTGTCGAAATAACCAATGAAACCATCATTACTCTTTTCATATCTCTTACAGTTTCCTATTTTCTAATGCTGGCCCTCGTTATCTTAGTCTCATTAACTATAATTATAAACAATAGTTGTTGAGAAAAGTCATTTTCAATCAATGGGACATGGTGACCATAATTAGGTAACAATGTTTTTGGAGATATAAGTATCTCAAAATCGAAAAGACAAATGATGATAATTAATAATTAAGACAACATTTTTGACTCGGTCGTTTATAAAAACTGGAAAACGTTAAAAATAAACAAACAATATATGGTGCTGTTAAAATTTCAAACCACTAAAGATCTCCAATTTTAACTATTTCTATTTCAAATGCAGATTTAATTATAGAATAAATTCAAAAAAATAATTTTTTTTGTTGAAATATCAATATCAATAAATTAAACTAAAAAGCAATCGCATGATTATTCCAATCAGTTTATTCGAAAATCACTATAAATTTATAAAATAAATGTTGTTCTCAATAATAATACGTTGTTAATTGACAAATTAAAAAATATTTTGAATTTCTTTATCAAGAACCAAACGTTAAATTCCACCGAAAATATCATACCGAAAACAGGGCTTCATCTTCAAGAGTACAGCTAATGTTTTCATAAAGACAGTGGCGTACAAAGAATCGTTTCGCGCAGTCAAGAGTTTTGACGCGAGATTATTCGACTATAGGTAAATCATTAATGAAAAATCATTTTATTATATTTATTAATGTAAGTTGTTACAAGGTGCATACAACCTATATTTACCTAATAGAATAATTATATTTTGATACTTACAGAATTTCCAAGTCCTTCATACTTCTTAGTGCGTTATCATCAATGCACGTGATTTTATTATTATCCAGTTGCCTGAAAATGAAATTTTAAAATAAATGCATTTATTAAATTTTTGAGATGTGTTTTACAATGGTATTATGAATCAGTTTTATACATACAAAGAACGACTACAAATCTTAGAATTTATTTCAGCAGAACAAGTTTTTATAAATATTGCTCGACAGATGTTTTCACTTTGAAATCTTTATGTAAATAGGACCTTCCTGTCATAGGGTTGAATCTTGAATTCGATTATGGATCTGTTGTTTCAATTGATCATTCTAATGTCGGTATTTTCTGTTTTGACACACCTGAATACCCTGAATAATACCCTAATATATACCCTTATATTCGAATGAGTATTCACTGAGATATTACAGTTTAAAGTAGACTCATGAAAACAACCTAATAAAATAGTTATACTCATAACAATGACACCCAGTAGTTAAATATTATTTTTCCTATAATAGGTTTTCAAAAAACCCTAATACAGGTCGTATCACTTAATTGAATTTTTGTAACTTTGGTAGTCACTCGTTTCAAAACCACAAAAAATAAATTTTTGTTATATGGAACTTTTGTACCTAGAAATTCATGTATTGCTTTTCAGACTTCCTAGAATACAACAGAATATCAGATTTAAATTTATGATGTGTGTGTTAGATATACTTTTCTCATTAAATAATATTGATGAAAATGTTTGAATATGATTATACTCTGAGTCAGCACATAAACAACCGATGAAAATGTTGAAAAAGTGAAAAAAAAAAATGGAAAATCGTCAAATCACTATTAGAGAAATTTCTGAGAATGTCGGCATATCGGTTGGCCCATACAATGCAATTATTTCGTAAATTATCGGCATGAAGCGTGTGGCACCGAAGTTCGTTCCAAAATTGCTGAATTTTACCAAAAAATCGTCGTATGAGCATCGCTCAGGAATTGTTGAATAACGTCAACGGCGATTCAGATTTACTTAAAGGGGTTATAACTTGCTTGCGAGAAGCAATACGAAGAAAATGCATTATGGAAAAACAATTCATAGCTTTTGCATCACGATAATATACCTGCTCACTCGTCATTGCTTGCTCGTCATTTTTTTGCCAGAAACAACACCGTAATCATGCCTCAGCCACCAAATTCACCAGATTTGGCCCCCTGCGATTTTTTTCGGTTCCCAAGATTGAAGAGACCCTTGAAAAGACGGCGTTTTGCGACGATTGAGGAGATACAATCCGTATCGTTGAGAGGGCTCAAGGACATACCAAAAAATGTATATCAGAATTGCTTCGAGGATTGAAAAAAAAAACCTTGACACGCTGAGGGAGAGTACTTTGGGGCCAAAAAAGAAATTGATGAATAAATGAATATTTTTCGAGAAAAATCACCTTATTTTTTTAACAGAATTCATGTACGACACTAATGATATTTATCAACATTTAAATATGGCAAACTTACAGATTTTTGATCGCTGTGGCACCTCGGAAAGTTTTTCGTCCAATCACCGATATTAAGTTATGACTGAGATCCCTGGAAAATACATGAAAAATTAGTCAATTTCATTAGTATATCACGTGATTATTGAAAATATTGATAACTAGTAGTTAATGCTGATTATTTTATACAATTAATTTGCTAACTACATACTGAATACCTGGAAAGTTATTGGGGCAGGAATATGTTTATTGTATTACATACTGCCTTGATGAGGGTTTTAGTTTATGTTTCAGTTGCAAATGTTATAGTTGAGAATGAGAAATGAAAAAATATGAAGATGAGAGTAGCCAACGATTGAATCAGTAGAAAAAATATTTTTTTTACTTACACAGCAGAGTATTTACTGAGATGACGGGACATTTTGAGCTATTGGTAATAATGAAGCGAAATTAAATTAAATCAGGTCATAATTTCAGTATCAATATTGTAGTGAATAATATATCAACCCAAGTTCATTATATTAGACGGGGATTCAATCTCTTTCATGCATTGAATTGATTTTTTTCAATCTTTGATATTTTCTCTGAAACTAATAACGATTTCTGTGTGTTTCAATTAAATATTTTTTATACTGATTCTTCAGGCGGAAGATAAAGAATGTAGAAAGAACCCTAACACCTGAGAGGTCAGTACAACACTAGGAATAAAGTAGATTTTATTGTTTCTTTTAAAAAAAAATCAATTTGAAATTGACAAATCGCCATTAATCGATACACTAAGTTGTCGGCACCATTTGTAAATTAGCTTTTTTTTAGTAGAATAAAAAATCAAAAGTTTTTAATTATAAGTAGAAAGAATTAAATTTGCAACCATTACATTTTGAAGAAAGCAAGTTGGAATGAAAATCTAAACTTTATATTTGACGCGAAAATGCAAAATGGAGAAATTCCAAAAAAATTTGAATTCATTCACTTCAAAGAATAAAGTCCCATCGGAAAGAATGTATTTATCTTGATTTTTCAAAAAGTTATAAAATCGTTAACTAACAAAATTTTTCTGTTTCTACAAGTAGCGACATAAAAATTTAAATAATAGTTTTTAAGAATTGCTACTTGGAGTAAGTATATAATGTATATACTCGGAAATATCATGTGATAAAAGTTTTGATGTTGAAAAATGTATTTTCACAAATGTTATATATTATTATGTTTTCATAACTAACAAACCCAGTAATAGACCCATTAAGTCTAGTTATGAAAACGTTTCACCATTTCATTGACATGACAAAATAATGATTTCGTGGAAATGATATTTCCACGAAATATTGATTTTTTATTTGTCTATTGTTTGAAAAAATTTATGAGGATAAAAATAATTATTTTATCTTCAAAAACCTTCATCGATATTTCTCAATAGGGTAATGAAAAAATACTAATATAATTTAATAATATTCCAGAAACAAGAAATGAAGATTTTTCAAAAGTGTTCATAAGTAGCTGCTTGATTTGTTGAAAATAAGTTATTCAACTTTTAAACTATAAGAGATACGATGATAGACATTCGTTTTTATGAAGGATCAATTAGGCCTTGAAATTAGTTAAGTTTAAGACCAAGTTTATAGCTATTTGTTGTTGATTAGTTGTAATAGCAATTTGTTTATAGAAATTGATTACTACATTTTCGTATTGTATTATGACTTATAATTATATAATGTAAATACGGCAATGGACCTGCAGAAACTTTTTTAGGCGATGAGATCTGCCAAATTATTATTAAACCATTTTATATATTTTATAGTTCAAATTATATAGGCGATTAAATTAACATTTACTAACTATCCGGTATTAAAGTTTTTTATTGTACCATCTGTCACTTGCTAAATATTCAATAAATGAATAATAATCCTTCAGAAACTCCTACAATAATATATAGAAAGGAAATCATAGCAAAATACAGGGTGTCTTCTAATTGTGGTGAAAGAATGTAAGGGTTCATGTAAAGGTGGCGTGGGTCCGGAAATATACTTTTCTTAGATACAGGGTGTGGTGTCTAAAAAAAGCCTTTTTTTGTACATATATATTTTCAATATTTAGGGTTGTAATGGAACCTTACCTCCACCTCCGTATGTGCGAAGCATTTGCTTGAAATGAACCTCTGCATTTGCCTCCACATATTTGCAAAGGGGTTTTAATATAATTTAATTTATGAAGGAGTAATATTCTGAACTGCAAAGCTGCAAAACTTTTGTAGAGTCTAATTAGTCAGAAATTTTGTCAGGATATTTCTACACACGAAATAAATGATCCATTTTATTCATAGTCAAAACTTATAAATATGACAATTTACTGACTAATTACTTGGTTCATATGAGCGGAGGCCTCCGCCTCCACTGACATAGTTGTTGCTTTTTCAATGCATAGCGCATAGCCAGCTACGAAAACAAATCAAGGAATAAAAAAGTTTTACTTTTGGATGTTTCACCCAACACAAAATTGAATGTCACAATTTACTCAACAATACTGTTGACTAAAATGTGCCAAGCCGCTATTGGATGCAATAATTTGTATCTAAATGAAACTTTGCCATATTCCACCAAATCCGGATATACAGTATTGATACAATTGATAATTTTTTAACACCCTGTATCTTGAAAACCATGCATTTCCGAATCTATGTTTACATGGTATTTTTTCATAAAATTAGTTCCTGAACACACTCTTACATTTCTCACCAAAATTAGGAAATACCCTGTAAAAATTAGCGATGCTATAATGAACTACTTACTTAGTTTTAAAACTTTTGCAATGATCACATTTTTCATAGATCATATCTAGGCTGACTGGCCTGAATACAGTAAATAAAAAACTTCTGGTTTATCATAAAAAGTTCTGCATGGCTCCGAAATTTCTTCAAATTGAATTAAATAGAACTGGCCGATACTTGATGAAAATCTATATTGAAAAACTAATCAATACAGTTTATTGTATGATTTTCACTATAAGAGTTTTACAAAAACTGCGATACGTGTTTCGCTATACAATAGCTTCTTCAAGCGTAACTGAGAGTTACTTCTAAATTAAACCATTCTATACTCTAATCGTCTACCTAAATAATAAATCTACCTGAAAAGGTCAGGTATGTATTCAACTCAGTTTGATCGTTCATAAGATGTTGAGAGTTTTTGAATTTGTTTATTTCCATACTCTACAACAGGTTTCAAACCTTTCTTCTGGAAATGGAGGGGTTTGTATTCATGGTTGAACTCATGTCCCTCTGAGATTAAATGACTGGCATATGTGGAATTTATTTCTCCATTCTGAAAACTATATTTGTGTTCCTTTATACGGGCTTTGAACGTTCTTCCAGTTTGACCCATATAAAACATTGGACATGACCCACACGATAATTTATACACTCCTGATTTTTCTGAAACTGAACTTTTATCTTTGTTATTTTAATTGTGCATGCCTAAGTTGTTGTTGGTTTTGAAAGCAGTATTTACACCTTTGTTGTGCAGAAAATCTGAAATATTAGTAGTGGGTTGGCCTAAGTAGGTTAAGGTTCCACATATGCCAGTCATTTAATCTCAGAGTGACATGAGTTCAACCATGAATACAAACCCCTCCATTTCCAGAAGAAAGGTTTGAAACTTAACCTGTTGCAGAGTATGGAAATAAACAAATTCAACGATCAAACTGAATTGAATAATTCGCCATTATTGAATCTATTCATTCGCAGGTAAAAATATTTAGGTATATTTACAGGTATACTTTCCAAAAATGTATTGATATTGTTGATGAATTCATATCTGACGTTTTCAGGTAGATTAATTATTTAGGTAGACGAATAGGTACTTACTAGGTTAGAGTATAAAATGGTTTAATTCAGAAGAAACTCTCAGTTTATGCTTGAAGAAGCTATTGTATAGCGAAACACGTGTCGCGGTTTTTGTAAAACCCTTATAGTGAAAATCACACAATTAACTGTATTGATTAGTTTTTTTCTTCAAGTTTAATTGATTTACTTGTATATGTAGAATCATTTATAAAAAAATAGACATTTAACTTGTGTAATTAACAATGACATTAAACGTTTCTGTTTTGAAATATTTTTCTCAAAGCTACAAGTGTTGTACTTTTCCTCTGACCAAAAAAATTACTTACAAACGAAATAAATTGGGGACGGCTGAAAATAAATTTTCCGGGATGTGTCGTATACTGTTGCCATTAAATCTTCTAGAAAAAAAAAACGAGGAGTAATAGCTGACTTACTCTCTTCTTTAATTCTTACTTACAATCGCTCTAAATTTATTAGGTCTTGAAACGCATCCCTTTCTATAGTATGTATTTCGTTATCTGTCAACTGCCTGCGGAAAACAATTGCTGCTTTTAGAGACAATGGCTAACAATGGCAGGAGAAAGGGTTTACATACACAACATACTTGTAGTAATGGAAACATATTCGGGTAACATTTCAAAGAAGAAATAATGGATGAGAATACACTGGAATGGTGAAATTCGGTACCTATATTTGTATGGTATGTGAAGGTAGGTCGCATAATGGATTTTATTTATAGCGAATTCATCTGATTTTATCCTTTCTTTCTTCGAAATCTACACTAATATCATGAAGATGAAAGATTTGTTTGATTATTTGTTCGAGAAGAGCAACTACTTTAAGAAATTACTTCATCACCCTTCGTTAGAGAGTTAAATTTAAAACGAATAACATGGGCTGTATTCATTTTTAAAAGATATTTCTGCTGCGAAAAATTTTTTGATGTTGCTATTTCAAAGTTATAATTACAATCAAGGAAATGAATAGGGAGATAAATCAATGCTACATTTGATCGATCAAATGATCCGAATATTCAGAGTACTTCAGTCATTCCAGGTTTGATCTTTCTCAATGAAAGTTGGTAATCGCTCCTTAGGAATAATTCGATGTTTTTTTCTCGCTTTTCGAATCCGCTCTTTTCAGTTCATCTAACTAAATCTTGTATACATCTCCAACTTTGACCATTTCGGAAACTACTGAAGACATGCTAGTTTTATATAAAGTCATACGTCCCCACGTCAGATTTCTGAAAATCCCGAATTTCTCAGTTTATATTTAGTGAAGTAGATGTTTATTCCCAATGAATCCAAGTGGAAGCAATCTGAATTGATTTAGCCAAATTTTTCTGCATGTTCGTTCACGAGATTCTTTTCGATTAACTACTTTCTCCTCCTCTGTAGAAAACAATGCATTTCATTTCTTGGTTTTAGGTTTGTCGATTATTAGTATTTGCTGGCCAAACTTCGATGCTATGGTTTGTCAGATCATTTCTGTGTATGGCTCTTCAGCTTTCTGAGAGAACGTTCCCTGTAAGTGGCCGTCAATGGATATTTCTCGAATACTTTCACCATCAACGCTGGTGTTCCCCAGGGTTCCATATTGTCTCCAACCCGCTTTTTATTGTATATCATCGAGTTATTGGAAAAAACCAAGAATCCAATATATTGCTTTGCTGACGACATTTGGATCCCAGGACATTAGCTACGGAGTCACATCTTCACCAGCAGCAGGAGGTTGCAAATATTAATGATGATCTAGAAGTGATTTCGAATAGGAGCGAAAGTAACCATGTTCAATTTATTGTCACAAAAACCCAGGCATCGGTTTTCTCCAAAAAGATAAATGTCTCCCAACCGGATATAATAATGTCAGGTCAGACAATTCCGCTTTCTGCTTCGATAAGTTTGTTGGAGGTTAAAGTAGACACCAATATGTCTTGGCACAATCATGTCGCTGGAATTGCAAAGGCTGCTTCTCAAAAGCTTGAAACACTGTTCCGAACCAGAAAACTACACACCTCAGCAACTTTTGATGCTTCATAAAGCTCAGATCAGACCTTCTTTGGAGTATTGTTCCCTGGTATGGAGCTATGCTCCCAAACATACCCTGGAATTTCTGGATTCCATCCAGAAAAGAGCCATCCGCCTGATTGGAGACGATAACATCAAGTGCAACTTTGATAGCCTGGAATATCGAAGAAAGGTTGGAGATTTGTCTATTCTATATAGATACTTTTACGGGAAGTGTTCAAGTGGACTGTGGCTACTCATCGTTTTGAGGTTCAACTCAATACACCTCGAACTTCACTCTTTAAGAACTCTTTCATCTGGAGAATTGAGTTATGGGGAATAAACTTCCTGAGAACGTTTTTCCAAATAGATTCAATCTTCAGCGATTCAAATTCAATATGAATCGCTACTTTCGCACAGGCACCGCTCTGAGAACGCCTTGAGGATTTTTTTGTAGTGCTTGTGTTTTGTCCTTGAAAAGAATCCGAGAGCTCTATATAATATTGTGAATGATATCTGTCTAATCGTATACTGTAAAATTCTACTGCTTGGAGATGATCATGAGATATTTCCTCATTGAAAGATGAAATCAACTTTCAGTTGTTTCAAAACTTTGAATGTAATGGGCGAGTTTGTAGGAATACCAAAAGTTTAGGATTTAGATTTGATTTTTTTTTTCTGCCAAAGTAACGGTTTTCGTATAATTCGATGTGAATGAGATGAAAAAACTGCCTTTGTATTTGCTGAGTTTGGATTTGATGCATCGAAATCCTCTAATAAGTTTCATCTGATGAAATATCTGTTGAATTATATATACTTACAAAATTTTAAGTTTCACCAATTCCTGAAGATCGGTTTCATAGATGATGCTGATATTGTTTCCTTGTAGGTCTCTGAAAAAAAAAAAAGAAAAATTTGTTAAAATATGGGCCACATGTACTCAGTGATGTTTGTTGACATTTTGTGGGAAAGTTCAGCAATGAACTGAGAATCTTACAAAAAACTATCGAACCAATAGAAGAAAATTTTGTTTAACCGTTCTTGATAATTATTATTTTAATTTTATGCTCTAAGGTTGCACTGGTTGGGTCCTATCCCCGAAACCCCGATACTCCCCACACAGTGGGGTATTATTATTATTTACTTTACCCAGAAATGTTGATGTGTTTGAACAAAGAACATGTTACGTAATTTTTGGCTTCTCTTAGTATGCGATAGAACAGTTCAGGTGTATGCACAGACTAATATCTTAGTGGAGTCGGGTGTTTAAAAAAAATAATTTTTTTTCCGTTAACCAGCTGTCGCACCCTACGAACGACAACCCCCAGAAGTCGAAACTTGTGCGAGGTAAGGATTAACGAGGTCTTACCTTTTAACGTGTGATTCCTAACACTGGTTGGACGATAGCAAGTGAAGATCGATCGTTCAGACTAGGGCTTGAACCACCGACCAACACGGCAGTCAATTCGAGTGAGTGAATAAAGCACCCACGCCGAACCGCTTGGCTACCAAAAAATTGTATACGAGAGCGCCAAGTGATTTACAATAAAATAAAACATATACTTCTTTTGAAACTAGAATCACTAAATCCAATTTGCTTACTTGTCGAACTATATGTTAGTTCAGAAAAAAGAAATATGTGAATGATATAATATATCTCAACTATATTATAATCAAAGTTCAGAGGCAAAGGCGAGAAAGAACTCTCGAGACAATGGTTCCAGGATAAAGTCTATCAAAAACAAGTCTCTATCTTAGAACGAACGCAATTATTCTCAGTAATACTATATAATACTATATCAAGGTGAACAAATATATAATTATCCTCGAGTCTTAAATGGGAATAATACTAGGCTTGTTCATGAATTTCGAGTGTTTTTTTGATATGCGTGCAAGATCTTCCAAAGTTAAAACCTGCCTTTGCCACACCTATATATAATTTTATGAAAATGTCAAAAGACGAGGTGAAAGTTGTTGAAATGCGATATCTTGTTCAATTTCCTCAAATAGAAATTCAGGTCGCTATTTTTCAGTCCTTCAACAAACTATTCGCGGGATAGTTCCTAAAAATGTTTCAAGAAGAATAAATCAAACTTTATTTCAATTTTTTACCTGATCTCTCATACAGATCAAATAATTAACGAAACAAATCGTCCGTTCCTGATCACCAAACTGCTGCAAGTTCGCCCAAAGCGAGACATTCGAAGAAAAAAGAAATTGTTATTCCAAACGCAGCGCTTATTACCACAAGGCAAGTCTACAATTAAAAAACTCAATTGAAAACGCATTTAAAAGCCATTTCGTTCAATTAAATAAATTCGACAGAATTAAATTGAATTAAAAGCGGTAGTTGCGGAGAGAAGACCGACCCTTTCCGAAGTGAACTCTATCGCGTTTGGAAATTTATTCGGGCATGTATTGAATACAGAGTGGAATTTCGAGCTGTATGGAAAGATCATTTTCATTTGTGATTTCTCATAGTCAGGGAATGAAACAAGCTAACAAAGGAAACAAGTTTAAAATTTATTGGTTGTTATGAGTCTACTTTCATGAGACCACTTTAAAATATATTAGATATAGTTAAAAGTGATTACTGGTTTTGAAGCAACAAGAACTAAAGTAGAACAGTGCATTAACACTATTATTGCCAAATACCTGATCAATTTTTCAACATTTCTAGTGATAAACAATTGATAATTCCTTCCGCTTTAACCGGAAATTGAATTTTGAAGAGAACCCTGCAGAACCCAACGATATAACACAAGTGACCATTTCTATCCAAAATGACGCCTCCAAATTCAATATGATGACACTATGATGTCATCTATGACAATATTGTCAAACAACTTGGGAACAAAAGATGAAGTTTGCTTATTTTTTGGTAAAAAATCGAGAATTTAAATTGTTCACCAATTGATGGTATTTTTAAACTTGAAGTACACCTCCTTCACTATGAAAAATTATCTAAAATACCACGCATTTNGCATTGTGTATGGGAAGGGGAGCATCAACCCTACTGGGTTCAGTAAGAGTGGTGGAACGACTGAAGATTAAACTGTTGATTAATTTGGGTGGATATCCACTGGCGATGAATAAGTTTGTAAGTTTTTTGAGATTATGGTTCCGAAGGGTGGAGTGGCTTGTGAGGATCACTGATGTTGTTACCCGGTACATATACGGTTGCAAATATGAACATTCATTCATTAGACATTCATTCGAGTAAAAAAATACAGTGATGTTGAAATTACACGGTCAATTGAGAAAAGAGAACTGAAATAATTATTTGAACATGATAATACTTTAGGTAACATCATTGTAATTTTCGTAAGGATCTCTATTTTTGAAATACACCTTATGTCAGTCGCCGACAATGTAGCTTTCTATAAGTGAAGGAATTTAAAAAATCATGGATCAAGAGTTGAATCGATTCCTCTACGAAACGCTTCATCACTTGGAAGGATCGTTTGCAGCTTGTGAAATGGTTCTGATGCAGAATCTGTGGAACATGTTCTTCCTTAAGAATCAATAGACAGCTGTCCTGAAAATCTTGCGAAGAAAATTAGATTAGATAATTTGCTACATGAATAGCATTTTACAAGTGTTGTTCATGACGAAGAATTTCAAGAACAAGGTTTCAACGATGAACGAGAAAGAGAATGTTTCCTACTTATTCACCAAACTTAAACACCTGTTCATACAGCTGCAGTTTCGTAAGAATGTATCATTTTTTCCACCAACCGATTTCCTAGAGTCTTTGAAGTCAACTAGATACTCGTTAGGACAAGAGGATTATTCCGAATTCTTGGGGTTCTTGTTGAATACTCTTCGTGAGTAGCAAAATAGCAGAGTCAATACTCCTGACCGCTATGGATTGATTGATTCCGTACAGCCAAATTCTTGGGGTTCTTGTTGAATACTCTTCGTGAGCAAAACAGAGCAAAATAATAGCAAAATCAATACTCCTGACCGCTCTGGATTGAATGATACTCTTGACCGCTCTGGATTGAATGATATCGTACAGTCTATCTCGTCTTGTGTTTGTAGATTTTCTGCTGAAAAAATCCTAACTAGTTTACTTTGTAGTACATGTTCAAGAGGTAGCAAAAACGTATGTGACTTTCTAGAACTTCAACTAGCGTTTCCTAATATGTTGAATCATCTGAAAATAGAACTTTTAACGGGTGATGATTCAACTATATTGCCAAATATGTGCCAAAAACTAACTGACTATTATAAGCCATCAAGTATAGCTGAGGCACCAGTCAATCTAATAATAACACTGATGATCTTCAAACATCACTCAACCACTGACGGAAGCACCAAACTCTTACGAAGGTTCGAAATAGATGAAAACTTCAATCTAGCAGACCACTATTATAATCTTCATATAGTTATTGTTCACTGTGGTTCTGGCATTGAATCTGGTCATTATTATGCATTGGTCAAAGAGAAACACGGACTGGTTTAAGTTTTACGATAGTCGTGTCACTAAATATTCTGGCAATATTTTGAATTTATTGGAGCCTCTGGAGACACCCTACATTTTATTCTATGAAAGAGAGGACATTGGCAGATCAAGATCTTCAGGTGCTGCAGGTTTTCCCGGGTTTTCCTGCAGCTGAAAAAGCGAAAAGAGTTTACGCTTGAGAAAGCTATTGTATAGCGAAACACGTGTCGCGATTTTTTAAAAACCCTTTATAGTGAAAATCATACAATAAACTGTAATAATTATTTTTCGTGATATCACTTCATTGTGTGCCTTCCCCCCGTGAACCGCATAGTTGAGAAGTTGAGAAAAGCGGGCTAAAAACGTACACTTGAAACTGTAGTGTTTACACATAAAAGGTTAGATGCTTCGATTGCACTCCATTCTCTCACAGCAAATTTTCAGTTCTTCTACGTCGTGGGCGTTAGAACCCCAAAAAGAGTCGATCGGATGCTTCAAAGTGACCAACTGTCTGGTATTTTCTACAAACTTTCAGTTCCAACTGAACCGTTAGATGAGAGACTCCAATGAATCACTGAAGTTCAGAATACTCCAGAAATTTGAACATATCCATTCCGTATTCATTGAAAGTCACATGACTTAAAAATTACGAACAGAGCAGCGTTCTATGATTCGTTAACTGAAGACCAAAAATAATCGAACGATTCAGGTTTCAACGCCATCCGTATTAAGACGACCTCCATAACCTGGTTATGGAGGTTAAAAAAGTATGCAATTAGAGCATATTTCATTAGGAACTTCTTTCAAAATATGATTTTAGACATTTATAAGACAGTGATCAAATGTCCTAGAACTGAAATGAACATAAATCGATACTCATTATAAAAGCTGTCAACGTCAATATAATTTATTTTTAGTTTATACTATCTGAAAATAAATCTTTCGTTTGCTTTTATTCAAACGCTTTCTCATTCAATAAATGAAGATAAAGTTCCGCGACATACTGTCTCGCAATGTTATCAAATTATCATGTACAGCAAAATTTCGAAAATTACGTATTTGCACACATTTAAACTGGGTACACTCGTAATATAACCCTTAAACTTAACAGTTGCCATTATATCTAGCATTCAACATTTCGCTTATCAACATTTATTTTATATTCTGAAAATGAAAACACGACCCACCTCGTATACATGCCCCTTCGTTCCCGCCGCCACCATGTTAATTAACATTCAGAATACGCACTCAAAGCTTGCGAAGACGGCGTAGGGTAGGCGGCGGCCTGATTGAATTATAACCCCCAATCAAACCCATTTTGATAGTGATTTATGAAATTACATCTATTGTCTGTCTGCAGAGTCCGTGAAACAAAACAATAAAATACCGGGCAGATCCCGCGCAGCGCTGAAAGATTCTACATTCGTCATTGTTCGCCCGTGTCAT